TATATATATAATAAACGTTGCAGTATCTTGAATTTGATCATTTTGACTAGGGATTATCTCATCAATCGATACTGCGGCGGCAGTCACACAGTCACGACTCCTCAACAACGAGTCTTGCGAACGGGACATTTCCCGACTCAATTGGGACCCGAGGTGATACAATTATCCGACGGTTTGATAAAAGGAAAAGACGGTCAAATGTATCGCGGCCAGCAGATGACGTGTAAGCAGGACAGCTGCAAGTCGTTTTGTTGGGAACGTCAGATTGACGATATAACTCAGGTGCCCGTCGAAATATATTCTTACTTTAAACGATTCGTCACACTCATTTTATTCGCAAACTACACTACTTCATCATTTCAGACTTCTCAGGAACGTGTGTCACCCGTCTCAACGCCGCCTCGTAAATCCCTTCCGTCTCGACGAAGCATTGAATCTCGTGAGTGAAGAACGTAGTATTTTACATATAGAGAAATCTTCCATGAGAAATCTTCCATTGACTGAAAGCTTATATTCTTTTCTTATTTTTTTCTATTGTTCGTAGGAAAGCGGGATTCTAAAAAACCGTCGAAAGAACCGGAAATAACGGAACCATCAATACAACCGGTACATAATTCTTGAGCAGAAAAATTATAGAGTTTAATTATCGGCTATACCGAAAATATGCGCTTCAGGCAAATTTTCACTCCGAAAATACTTTAATCAAATTCAATTTGGCATAGATCGAAGAAGCGCAACGAGTGACGTCGCCGAAAGAAAGCAACGATTACTTAATAACAATCGCTCCAGCTGACCATCAAGATGAAATCGTCTACGAAACGAACGAATGAAGCGACGGAAAATAACATTGAATAAACAATAAATAATATGAAGACATATAATCCAATCGACATTGATACTTTTAGATACCTTCTTGTTTCTTCCTTTTTCTGAAACGTGATATATATTATTTAATTTTGAAATTCTTTACGTGAAGTCTTATTTAAGAAATATATCTTCTGGAATTATTCAAGTGGAGAAAAAATCGAGCACGCGATCAAAACGTGGAGTTATTAAATATTTTATTATTAAGAGAGATTTTCAGAGTACACAAGACTATCTATCTAGTGAAGTCGACTTGGAACATTGGTGGTTCGCTTCCGTGAAACAAAAATATTGGGTCGCACTTCACGTATTACACGTCTTACGAGACCGCGTCTCGCTATTGCACATCACCGTCCGAGATCCGTTTACCGTAAAGGACGTGCACAGCGCTCTCAAGGTAATTCATTGGACTCTCTTCTCGCTCCGCTCTGCCCGGCCTTATATCATACATACCCTACAAACGACTATGCACTAGCGTTTTTTTTTTCTTTCGTAATAATATATATTTATGTATATGTATATATATATATATATATGTATATGTATATGTATATGCATACATATTTATGTATGTATATACATATATGTATATATATACATATTTATGTATATGTATATGTATATACATNATATATATATATATATATATATATATATATATATACGCCAGATCTAAGTGCTACTTCATACAAATTTCAAGGTACAGGAAGTATCTACAAGTTAGTTAGTTAGTCTACCACATAATTTACGTACTGCCTTCCGATAAGTAGTGGTAATATTACGTCTACGTATACGGAGTCTAGCGTTATCATCGTACAGGGTTACAGCTCTATGACCTCGCGATGAAATCAACGGTATACAGAAAACCACCGGGGTGAGATCGTTATCATTACCCAACGACACAATGCACAATAAATATAATATGTATATATGAAATAAATATATAGAGATCGTAGCTTCTTCAATGATCGGGCTCGTACGGCGGGACAATATAATGTCTTAAACGTTAACATGGATATGCATTATCGATTACAGTTAATAATACTGGCAGCTTAAAGTACGACGTATGAACTATGCTCAACCTAATTGGACGCGAGAGTAGGGAGTGCCTCGCGCGTTTAGAAATTCAAGTTACTCCCGTGATCGGATTAGAAGGTTTGCGTTTCAATTGGGAAAACTATAGCGCACCGTGTATGCGCTACATTTACGCGTATACGCTAATCGAGCCAGTTGAACGTTTAAACGAGTCTATCGGCTGTTCTACGTGAGATGTGCTGGCACTCGCTACCCGCCGTAGGTTCTTACTACGTCTATTTAATATTAAGTAAAACCACTGCCCCGCGCGCGCGACCGCTCGCTCGCAGCGGCGCCAACGAAAGTTCCGCTCACAACCACCGCGCGCGAATCGAATTCCTAACTCGACAAATTATTGTAACACCACGGACGTTCTCGTCAATGCGCCTAACCGACGCGTCGTTGCTGGCTACATAATATAATAGCGAGATTAATTATTTATTATCGTTATTATCGTCTCGCGCGTGCGGGCGCGGGAGCGCCAATGCGCGCGAACAAGGGGAATTAAATAACAGATCACAGGTGAAACTAGGCTATCTCTGTAACAAATTAATATCACATGAAAAAATATGTATCGGTTGCATCCTATCGCAAAAATCTCCCGCGAGTCAGGGACGGATGGCTCGGATAACGAGCCATCGATTATTTAAATTGGCTGACCTCGGTCGTCTCTTTCCACTGGTTGACGCGTCCCACGATTCTTCGCGAAAACGCTCATATTACCTCTTCGAACCTTGCATTTCTCGTCGAGATCACGAGAAATCTTTATCTTACGCCGCTTGCCTCGTCCAGTAGTCGTAACGTCTATCCGATTCGACTTACCCGAGTCGAAATTTGAATTTCACATTAATCCTGCAAATTTCATCAAACTTGAAGAATCAATAGGAAATTTTGAGATATAACGCTATGCAAGCCTGTTATGATAACTTGATGCTATAGATGTTTATTTACTACCGTTTTCTCGACGTTAAGAATTTAAATTTAGATTCGTCAAAACAGCAAGGATAAACTAAAGTGAAAAGAATTCGTTAGCAGATTCAAGATGAAACTCGTAGTTCAAGAAACATTATTAGAGAAACAAATTTGCAACACTTGCTATTTTTTAATAAAAAATTATTGATGATTTTTGGTTGAGCGCACAATTAATTAGAAACTCGTATTCATGGTTTTAATATCAACATTTCTCGTATGAAAAAAGTCTATGTAATGCCGGTTCGGTCTAAATTTCGACTCGGGTATTTCGTTATTCTTGATAAGTTTGTTAAATATTCATTAAGATAGAAAACACTTTTGGATTTTCAAATCCCGTTAATATTTCTGATATCAATAAAAAAAATAACAATGAGATTAAATATAAAATAAAATAAATAAATTTTAAATGAAAGAGGGAAATTTGTTGTTTTATATTTATCTACTTATCCATTAATTTTTATTTAGTATCTGCTTCTTACTCATATTCTGAAATCCATACCTGAAATCGAACAATTTACATAATTAATATGTTATTTGTCAATAATATAAACAAAAGTTTAAATGCACGATTTTAGATTTTTGGAATAATGGAATATTAAATAATTGTTCAATTAGGCCTTCTTTAAGCTTCGATAAAAGCGGCAATAAAAGTAACTATTTCTAGCATCAAAGAACAAAAGCCTATACAGTATTGTACTTCGAGTTTCTCCGTTGGTACTTCGAATTCAGTGAAATCTGTAGGATTAATGCAGAATTAAAACTTTTTTACTCGCGTGTTGCACGTATATACGCTCTCTTATCGCTCTAAACCTACCGATAGCTTATTAACGACGATGGACAACTAAACCCTGACTAAACGATTACGATTAGAAGTAAAGTTTGGCATTTTCTTCGCGCTCGCCGCGCACCACCGTCCAGCTGTCTACAGCCCGTTCGCTCTACATATTCCGCGAGTGAATATTAGGATTAGCTTTACTTTGGCTTCTGCAGCTCGCGCTATGTCGGGCTGCCGTTGCGCGACGTTTCCTTTTTAAACCTAAGTACGTATTACCCCTGTTCTTACTTAAATTACCGATTCGTAAAGCAGCGTTTCTGATCCCATCTAGAGTTTTCTTTCGTAGAAAATCCGCGTGACCGCGAATTCGAGGAACAACCGTTTAATTAATAAGTCGACGAAACAGCCGGGAAACGTCCTCGAGGACATTCTCGCGTATACTTCTCAGAATCGTCGACCCCGAATCTAATCCTGCGTGAGAGTTGTCGCAAGCAAGCTGTCACCGCTACGCGTCAAATGGTGATTCGTATCCGTTTCAGGTGTAATATCGCTCCTCCAAGCTCCCGTTAAGAAAAAGAAAGGGTATCCTTAGCATCGTAATGTCATCGCACTCTACACTCTTCGTGCCGCGGTGCATGTGTCTGCCTGTGAGGTAGGTTTGCGCGATGTTTCGAGGAAGACGAAGCGCGTCCATCGATCTCCACGCTCTCGAGAATCCGGGTATACATTTCGCCGTTCCTGCCGATTCTATTGCGCGATAGAAATTCTCGTACTCGGCCATAGGCATGTGAAGGTGAAGCGTTGTCGAAAAAACGACGAATGACGACGACGGTATTGTGTCGTGAGCATTGTGGAAGCTGCCTCGTTCTGAATAACCTGAGATGATAACCCGAGTAAAAATTTTAGTTCTACATTAAGTCCATTCGGTTCTACGTTGAGTCTTTAAAGGTCTTCTATTGTGCTCCTTTCATGCTTTAAATAGAAATTTATTTCCGTTTCCTCCACCTGAAGATTTGAGATGTAAAATTTCCCCCCGGGAAGTCGAAATTCCCTTTGTCAAAGGAGCACTACTAGCTTCTTTGATGCTACAAATGGGAAGTTATTTCCGTTTCCTGCAGTTAAAGACTTAATTTAGAACTAAGTAGAATTAGGCTGGTATTTATAGCCGGATCTTATATTTAAGACAGTCTTATAGGTTCATCTTCAGGTGTTTCAATGAAATGAGCCGCACAGCATCTGAAGATAAACTTACAGACGGTCTTAAATACAAGATCCGACTATGAATACCGGCTTTAATATAGGACTAAAATTTCGACTCAGGGACTCATCGTGCATATATGTTATACCTCCGGCCTTTCTCAACTAATCGCACCGAGCCTGACGATCTCTCGTCCCTGATCGATCGTGTATCGTTGATGAGAGCTTCGCTCTCATTCACCTTTATACTTTTGTACTGTACTCGTATCCCCTCAATCTCAATGCCATTATTGTCCATTATCTCTGACGCTCTCTTCGTGCGGAACGGTTCGCTCGATCGGATTGCGAATTAATACGGAGGATCTCGCGGAAGTCGAACAAGTCGAGAGCACGTGCGTTGCGTATGCTCGGAAGACTCCCTTGCGTTCGGAGAACAATATTCCCTACGGGTTGTGCGTGCACATCCCGTTCGCCGAAGCTGTCAAGCCCGTTCGTTGCAACCGCGCTATTTTCGGCACTCGTCGGAAAAGTAAAAGTGGGTTATCAAAAGTGTTACAGCGCCTTAAACGGCGCTACGATAGATGCGCTACAAAAGCTGAGCTATGACCGGATGCAGGAGACACATGTGCTCGGCACCGCGTATCGGAAGACGATTCACGCTAAAATGACGGACCATTTCCGGTATGCTCTCGAACGGCTTGCTGAATTGTCCCAGGATGTAGGCGTTCAGCTCCTCGTTCTTCTGGATGCGCATATGCATGAAACCGCGAGCGCTTCTGCAACAATTACGAAGGCTCAATAACACAAGTAATCGTGCTCGAGGGCAGAAAATCCAATTATCGCAGTTTGAACGATTGAGAAATCGAACGAATTATCGAGCACCGCAATGCGGTATTTATACGCGTCACTTACTTCAGAGACAGAGAATAGTCCTGCTTGGTCGATTCGCTGTTCCTCACCAGGTAACTTCCCTCTCGCAGAAGTCGTAGGACAGCCTCCGCCTCGATTCGCGTGATTGAGCCGTGATACCACCTGAAATCAAGAAAACAAAATCTTTGTTCGAGTTTCGGAAGTGTGGCCGTGCAGAATCGTGAAGAAATTCTGCGAAAATATTCAAAGATGAACAAGTGGGAGTGTGCAAACGAAGGTAAGAGAGATCTTGAGAGGCTGCTAATGAGCTCATTAGCGATTCTCGAGTCAACTCGAAGCCACCGTTCGCCAAGTGAGCGAGCAAAAACGAACAACGAGATACTGCGACGCAGCTTCTCTCGGTTGAGACTCACCCTTGCCTCTCCAACGGGAGCTCCACGTCGACCAGATCGGCCGATCCTCGAGCGGTGCTGATTTCCAGGGGCAAGCCGAGGTTCAGGCCGCCGGGTTTCTTCGGTACCAATTGACTGCACGCGTTTCCTTCCGTGCCCGCCGCGTTTCCACTGGCGTCGAGGTTCAGAGTCATCTTCGGGCGCGCCAGACCGCCGCCTGAAATGAGTCACCCGACAGTTAGACTCCGTGAAGCACTCCGTGAAGCTTCCAACAGTAAACAACGATGATATACGTATAATGTAATATATAGAGCCGCCCACAGTCTCTCGTGACGAGCTCTACGACCCCTTAATTATTGCTGCGAATCAGAACTCGGATACGTCGAGACTCGCTCGCATAACGGGGTGGATAAAGCTGAGTCGTCCACAGGAAATTATTATGGGAGCGTTCGCGTGTTTTCGTCACTATCTTTTATCTACCCTTGCCCCAAGATAGCATGATCGAGACTGGATTAGAACGCAACGCGACGCTGATATATTCAGCGTCTAATAATTATTAGCGCGAGGAAGCAGACGCGATAAACGCTCCTGGTACCGCCAAGATAACTCCTCAATGAGTCATTGTTAAATTAACAGATTTCAGGAGAAGTACGACAGCGTATGTTGCGAGTGATATCATTTGTCCGGTGAGGAGAGAATGTCGGACATTCTAAAACCACCTAAAACCCTCTGTCTTCCAAAGTGAATGTTTACAGGCGCCACCCTAAAGTGACAAGCCACTCCACCAAGAAGCGTTTGTTCCCGTCCAATTTTTGTTTCGAGGTAACTTTCCGCTATGATAATATCAGTCAGTCAGTCAGAGGGTTCCCTGCGAACGATAATGACCAAGGAAGGACGCGTGAAGGAAGCGCCCCTGTACATTCTGCGGTGGGCCGTTAATTTCATTTATTGGCGCAATCTCTTAGCGGTTGACTTTTCGGACGCGGTACATGACGCAGGTGCGACTAGATTGCCCTGACAGGTGTAACGTCGAGTTAGCTTCTTTTATGGCCTAACGTGCCCAGAGGGTATGCCGTAGTGCCTCCGTCTGACGCGTACATATGCAGATACGTAGGGTGTCCTGGGCTATCAGATAAATCGAGGGCGAAGAATCGATAGTCGCGGAGTTGTACTCGGTGACGAGGAGATCGCAAGACCGAACTGAATTTCAGGAAAGCAGAATCCTGTCTTTCGGTTCACGTCAGATATATTTCACGTTTATGCAAATGTCGCTTGATTTTTAATTAACGTGATTTCCAATCAGCGAAAAACGTGATAAGGTCTGAAGATCGCGCGACGGATATTGTAATCTACGATAAATTCCGGTCGGAAAAGATCGCCTTGCCAAATCTGCGACGAGAGTCTCGAATATCCCCGTATACACGCATCAAATTACGGTGAAAGGAGGACCCGCGGCTATCTTCCACGCGCTATTTCTATTCAATTCCTCTTTTGCGAGACGCACGTTTCGGGAATGGTTAAACATTAACAGCGGCGGACTGCTAGCGTTACTCGACGAGATTGGGTGCGTCTGTATTATTAAATTCAATCTGGCGATCGGCCGAGCAGATTTATCCGCTCTCCCCCACCTCTCCCTCCGTCGGCTCCGCACGCCGCCGTAAACGCTTTTTCTCTCCTTTGTCTTTGCCGGAATTTTTCTCTCGCGCATCCACAGAGGCCTTCTCGGCCTTTGTACATCCCCCCCTCCCCCTACCCTTCCCCACCACGGTAATCTCTCGTCCTGACACTCGTATCCTTATTCCCTCCCTTTCCCTTCTTGGACTGTTTTAATATCCGTCCCTGACGGAGATACGTCTCAATCAATTTCTTCGCGGGCTTTCCGACTGTCGCGTGACTCCCGCGGGAAATGGGGAGCCGTCGAGATGCTCGGCGGGTGGATCGCACGCAGGTACACCGAGGACACGAGCAAACTCCGCCGCCGATGATCACGATTCGCTGGGCGAATCCGAAGCGATGCTTGTTTGCTCGCGAAAACCGTTCCGCTGTGCGGGCCTCCGCAAGCGATGTGTTTCATGCGGCGTCGTACGGTGAAGAGGGAGGCGGTGATTGCGATGGGAAGCGCGGAGGAGAGAGGAAACGCACGGCTGAGAAGGCAAAAATATTCTTGGGATACGGCAGGACACGCGCGACGTCTCGCCTCAGAAACGTCTCCGGGGAAATTCTTGGGCCGGATGAGGCCGCCCGGACGGGAGAGAGACGCACGGGAAATCTCGCGGGCGTCCGAGTCGCGCGCGTCGCCAAGACGGGAAACTTTTAATTCCCCGCGAAAATCAGGACATATTGGCGACGCGTTTCGCCGGTGGCCGTCGAATGGCTCCAGCGAGCGGGAAGTCGAGAGCTACCCCGCACCAACGATTCGTATTTATTGCCGCGGGCGAAGGAGATCGAGGGTGGAACCCGCCGCAGAGATTTACGACGCCGGCGAATTTACGGCCCCGGGGAGCCGGCATGTCAAATGCGCCTGGGAAGGAGTCAATGGCGATTCCATTGAGTGGCGAGGCGCTATTAAATGGAAGATGGCGCGGATCGCAACGGACGTAGTCGCCGCTGCGAACAATGTGCTTTCAGGAGGATGCGGCATCGCGAAGGCGCGATCCCGTAATGAAGCGTCAAGGCAGCGACCGCTTATTCGCGTCACGTATCTCCTTTCGGGTTACAAACCGTAAGAATATTTGCCACGGAGACTCCGGGGGGGGGGGG